GGGTGGCTGCTGTAGGGCTGGAGGCTGTGGGGGGCACAGCCCTGCTAGATCAAGCCCTCACTGCCCCCCCTCCGAGATGCCCCAGCCCCGTGTACCCGCACCTCCTCCCCACTTGCTGGTTTCCTGCTGCTCCATGGAGATAATTAAATCCGCTATTTCGGCAGGTTCCGCATCCCCTGCCAGGCAGATCCGCAATCAGCATTGAGAGGTCCTGGGGCTCCCCCACCTGCGCACCGCTCCTGCCCTCCCCGCCACCGTGCCACCCCCGTGCCGGAGCACCTTGCCTGGCCCTGCCACCTCTGCCTGCCTTGGCTCCCTGCCCACTGGTGCGACCTCCCTGCCTGCACCCTTGGGACAATCCTAGGTCCTTGCAGGAGGGGCAACACAGTCCTCTCCTGTACCAGGCACGTCTCCCCCACCAGCTCCAGGGTCACAGCCCCATGCCGGCTCCTCTGGAGGGGTCAACATGGAGCAGGAGCAGCTCCCCGCCAGCCACCCCGCATCCCCAGCTCCCTATCCATCCCTGGTTCTGACATTATCAATCTTCCCATGGCACCCAGGGAAGCTTTAAATAATTCACGGAGGTGAGCTCGAGCACAGATGCTCCCGCAGGCAGCTGGGTGCGAGCAGCCAGGCGGCGGCTGGGCGGCAGAGATAGCGGTGCTGTCCCCGCTGGCTGCCCAGGGCCTGCTGGCAGCTGCCAGCCAGGAAGGAAGGGCCTGGGCTCGGTGTTCACGGAAGAAAAGCACTGAGGGCATCATCCTGAGACAGCTCAGCAGAGGTGGGAGGTGCGCGGGGTGCCCCCCACACCGTGCTGCCTCCCATGCTCAGCCCTGCAGCGTGCCCCCAGCCGTCTCTCGCTCCCACCCTCCCCTCTGCCCCCCATCTCCTGTGCAGGATCCCAAATTGATTCCTGAGAAAGCTTGGTGTTAAGCTGGCAGCTCTGGCTGTGAATTCGGATCAATAATTTAAGGGGGTAAAACTATTAACAGAACATTAAAATACCCGCTCTCGTCTGAGGCACGAAGGTGGGAGTGAAGGTGAGGGTGCCTGGATGACCTGCACAGCAGCGCCCGGTCCTGCCAAAAGCCCCGGTGCTGGTGCGGTGGGGAGAGTGGCAGGCGTTTCTGTAACTAATTGCCGGCTGCGCCAGGAGAGGGGAGGGTGGCATCCACCAGGGTTATGATGGACTCCAAGGCTGCTATTACCCGCCAGCCCTGCTATTACACACACCATCACTCAGCGCGTGGCCGCGGCTGCCATGCCAGCCCCTTGGCAGTGCCGTGGACTGTGCCAGCCGGGAAAACCACTGGAAACAGGTATAATTACACGAGATGGGGCCCGCTGGGGGTGTTTCAGCTGCAGGCCCATTAATTGTGCTGTACACGTTGCACTGATGCTGTTCAAAGCTGCCTGGGTCATCCTCCGAGCCCCATGTCCCCAGTCCCACAGCGAGCCAGCACCAAGCAAACCCCATAGCACATCCCCGCTCCACCCCAGCACCTTCTCCATCCTCTGCAGCCAGCTCGGCCCCGTGCAGCCTGGCTGAGCTCTGGGCAGGAGGCAGCCCCTGCCAGCCTGGGAGGGGGGACGTGGCCTTCCCCACCCGCAGGTGAAGCTCTTGGGAGCTGCCGAGCTGTGACACCGAGAACCTGCCACAACCTGGCTCATTTCAGGAGGATTAATCCATGATTCCCTGCTGCCCAGCCCCGGGGAGGGCAGCTCCGGGAAGCGGGGAAGGTGAATTTCAGGGAGATTAACCCTGCTCCCCAGCAGGATAGGAAATGGAGGTACATCTGCTCATCCGAATGGAAGGAACAGCCGCCCGGTGGGGGAGCAGATAAAAATAGGCTGACATTTACCTGTTAGCCCCGAGCAGGGCAGGTAGAGGGCACCATGGCCAGGCCGTGCCTGCTGAGGGATGCAGGCATCTGCTCGAGTGCCAGGCACTCACCGCCTGCTGTCCTGCTCAGGCTGTAGGGACAGCGTGTGGCATGCAGCGGTATGGCTGTGTGTGCGCAGGGCAGTGCCTTGAGGTGGCACCGGTGATGGGGAGTCCTGCCGAGGCAGGGGTGTGCGCAGGGCACACGCAGGCATTGATGCCAGGGCGATGGGACAGTCAGCCGTGTGCACCGGGGCTGTGGCATGCTCGGGGCTGCCTGTACATGGAGGTGAGCAGCAAGGTGGCTGGCAGCGAGGTGGGCAGCCGTGGCATGGGCAGGCGGATGAGATCGAGGCAGGGCTGGTACCCGAGCCTGGAGCCTGCTCGGGGACTCATTCCTCCCAGGGGGATGGTAGTGACGAGAACAGGCAGGGCTAGGATCCCTGGTAGAGGTGCCCTGGGAGGTGTGCGAGAAAGGTGAAGGAAACCCCTCTCTGCCCGCCGTGGGGCCCTCCCCTGCCACCAGCAGAAAGAAGCATCTTCACCTGCCCAAAGCTCTGCAGCCTGGACTGCCGGGAAGGGCTGGTGGCATGCTCTGCCCTGCCAGGGGATGCCGCAGCAGCTGTTCCCACCTCTCCATCTGCCCACAGCAGCCCCTGTCTTCCCATGCACCACAGACCAGGGCTGAGCATCCTTCTACAATGGCATTAACGTTTCCCGTCAGTGCTGGCAGCTCCTCCCTAGGATGTCACTTGCCTCTTCACAGCCATCTCCGAGCAGCGCAGGCCAGCCGCCCCAAAGCCGCGGAGGTCAAGACGCCTCCTCCAGCATCGCTGGCTTGGCATCCCACCACTGATCAGATGTTGACCTTGCTGCATGCCCAGCAGCTCAGGGTGCCTGCCCAAGCTGAGCCACAGCAGTCTGGCCCGCAACCGGTCACCCAGGTCCCCAGGGCTGCAGTAACCCTGAGAGCCGCTGGCACTCCTGTCCCTGGGGCATAGGAGCACCCTGCCCTCGCCTGGCCTGGGGGCCCCAGCCCAGCCCCAGCGAGCCTGAGCCCAAGCCCTCGCCACCAAGAAGCCAGCGTATGGCTGAGGTTGGGAAGGGTTAACAGCTGTGAAAGCAGAGCCTCCCCTTCCTCCCCCTGCTCCGTGTTTTACAGGCCGGAGCTATTACCAGGAAATGTTCCCATCAGCACCATTGATCCCCTTGTTTACAGCCCCATAATCCTCAGCTGTTGACTCAGGAGCAAAGAGGAGAGAAGGGAGAAGGTGGCTCCCTCCTGGCCATCGCCTCTGCCCTGCCTGCAACACCAGGCATCGCCTCTGCCCTGCCCGCATCCCTGCGCAACGCCCACCTGGCTCCAGCGCACCAGGGTGACATTCACCCAAGCCCTGCAGCACCTGGCTGGGCACCAGGGTCTCTGCGGCCGGTGGGGAGACAGTGCGGCCCCTGGAGAGGCAAAGGAGGGCAGACCGGTGGCAGGAGCCCGGCTGTGGCAGTGGCCACGACCCTGCATGAGCTGGCCCACGCAGGTGGCTGCGGGTTCCCCCCTTGCCAGCGGCGCTCTCCCGGCATGCGGCTGTGCCTCCCACCCGCTGCCTGACAC